TCTCTCTCTCTCTCTCTCTCTCTCTCTCTCTCTCTCTCTCTCCACACACTCGCTCACTTTATCTTATTATTTAATACTCGGAACGTAATTAGCATTTTAGAATAAATATTTGACAAACGGCCACTTCTGTGACGTCAACACTAATACGGTGTCGATATGGCTGGATAGCTGAGCACTTATCGACTGACTAGCAGATAGAGCCACTGAACAGAACGTTGTATACTTGCGCATAAAAGTCAACAATCATCCATTTTGCTACAGCTATAACTGCCTGTTGTTGCGTCATTGTTAAAAAAAATATATTTTGCATACATTTTCGAACACACTTAGTATTGTTAAAGCCAGCAACACAGTGGTGTTCATATTGAAGTAATTTACATAACTAACAACATCAGGCATACTATAGTAATTGAACTAGCGCTTCGAAGTCAAATTAATGACACCGTTGCGATGATGCTACCAGCTACTATTTTACGCTTCTACTAAACAAGTGGATTTCCGGCCGTGCATCAAACGATTAGAAATCGTAAGCATCACCAACGCAATTAAAACTACGTCATCAACTATCTCTGATGCATAATCTCAAAAGTCACACGCACCGATGATCAGTCGACGAAATTAGGCAATCACTGTAAAACAAATCCAGCCGAATAACCTACGTACGCATAGCGTCACGTATTTCTGCAGGACATGTGTCTCGCAACTGTATCCAGGCTCGATCTAACCAACGTAAAACCATAAAACCGCTTTACGGTTGCTCGCGCCCCGTCCTGCCGCGGAGAAGGTTCGCAAATCCGCAAGAAAGACGACAACTTCAAGAAGCCGAATGTAAAATAAACAACGGCGAGTGCTCAAGGTTTACCTCGTGCTCAGATCATTCCCAAACCCCCGCCCCCCCCCACCCTCCCTCCCCAACCATTCTGCTTCTCATTCCAAGAATTTAAAATCGCACGCGCCGATAACGCCGATACCGTATGCTTCGCCATAATCTCATTACTTTATATTCATTTCAGTTTTTTGCAATTATTTTATAGCCGACTACCCACGGTGGATTCTACCATTTAGCATCTGCTGAGGTGGATTTTTATCATTCTCTGCACGCCAGCAGCGCCAGCAGTGCCAGAAGAAGAAGGCAAGACTTCACTCTGCAGCTCGCTTGTTTTTGCAACCCATCATCTGAGACCGACACTGGATACTGTTGCTACGAAGATGTACAGTGACAGAAATAGACGGGCTCATCTTGTATTTCCTTAAGTCAACTTTGCCGGAGCAAAGTGGCAACAGCACTTGCCTATTATGCTAGCTCTCATCCTCGCTCTTTTTCCTTTTTTCCTCGCTCACTCGTTTCAGGATCTCTCTCTCTCTCTCTCTCTCTCTCTCTCTCTCTCTCTCTATGCTCTACACACGAGGAGGTAGGTTGCCGTGACAGCGACGTTACTCACGTGCACTATAGGAGGGTGCGGGAAGAGGGTCCGATCGTACTAAGTGCTTCAATAGGCAAATTAATTATAAACATATTTATAAGCCTAACTTCCCTATTTGAATGTAATTGATTCTGCTTCATTTTGATCAGCAAAATCGTGGCAATGGCCTCAGCCATCATGGGTGCGAAATTAACGAGAGTCCGAAGTCAAATACTCCCTGATTTACTGCCGGACTCCCTGATTTGGCACATGCAGGAGTCCGTGTGACTCCCTGAAAATTCTGCAATACTAACTAGTTTGTTCCAGAGCACGACCTCGCGGAATTACCGTATTTTTTCAGCTAATGTCCAAAGAAAATTTGGCAGACGTGCAACCGCATGAATCTTCAAAATAAGCACATGCGTTATTGTTAATATCTTTAATTTTGAACCTCAGACTGCGGACTCCCTCATTTTTCTGCGGACTCCCTCTTTTTGAGGGTAGGGAATCGGCTGGACTCCCGTGTTCAAAATTTAATTTCTACCCCTGCCCCCATGCTTCACGAAACACTGTAGGGGGTTCCATCCCTGCAACGTTCTTATTCGCACGAGTTTAGTTGTACACACACGATCACACGCGAGATTACTTCACGCTGGTGGTAAACTCACTCACAAACTACAATGTTAATCCCCATCAACGCCACGCTGTGTATAGATATCGCACGCTACCTTTCTCTCGTCCATGTTGCGTAGGTGGCAGAGTCGGGAGAAGAACGGGTGCCCCATGACGACCCACTCGCGCTGGATGAGGCACTGAAAGCCATGCAGACTCCTGAAGCGTGGCTCCTGCAGCAGCTGTACGAGACAGCTCACGATGCAGTTCAGATCTCTGTCGCCCGGCTCTGTTAAAATTATTACGTCACAGTAAATAGTAAAAGTAAAAAAAATCTTTTTCACAAAATGTAAGTAATTCTGTCCACTTTTTATGGTTAAATTGCTGCATTATACTTCCTATTTTACTATATTGTTCGATGTAAACATACAATCGTGACTCACACATAGCCCATAGCAAGCAATTAATGTTAGGATCATAATATGAAATCGTCCAGGTTTTTTGGATTTTTAACTAGTTGAGAAACAATCTTATCAGGTAAGAATTTGACGATACATTTAGTCCCGTTAGTACTTACTTTTGATGTAAAAAAATGGCAACAAAAATTTTACAAATATATACCAAGTCCATAATTTTTTTTACAAATATACACCAAGTCCGTAGTCAATTTAACAGACGATAACAGGTCGCATAGACTTCTAGCATAGCGATGAAAAAATACACGTGTTTACAAAATGTCATCGCATGGACTCTTGTGGCACGGCTGTGAAACATTTTTACCATTTAAATTTTTTCGCTCTTCTCTGAAATCGCACGAGTATATTACAACGATTATTATTATATATGCAAACGATAGTTTTATTCTTGCCCAGGAACCCGTTGTCAGAAACATCGCAAAGTTAAAGCTAACGTTGACGTAACGTTAACAAACTTAACCAATATTAGGACTAATATTGTATCTCACAATGGGTCTCGGGCTTCAAAAGAGAAGATTTCACAATATGTGAGCATTACTGTTATACAGACTCCCGCTCTCGCTTGCCGGCGTGGTATTTATGGATGCACAGCAGCTCAAGCAACATCTACTCAGCACGTAAAGCGCAGCGCACAAACTCAACTATACACACCGGCCGGCAGCGAATTAGGCATTAAATTCCTGCAAAGCGAAACTATTGAATGGAACTCATCAACGCCGGGCAATTTCGGCGCGCCGGCTGAGAGTCGGATCTGTGCAGTGCAAACACGACGCGACGGCGTCAGCAAACAGTGCGAGGCTGCGTGCCAGCGCTCACTACCCAGCCAGCCACGCTCAGAATTCAAGCCGGCTCCTCAGCGGCGACGCAAAACAACGCCACTATAGTTGGGGGGGCCCTAATGGTCGTTGAGGGGGAGGGATATTATATATATATAATATATATATATATATATATATATATATCATATAGGGAAGATTGGGACATTAGGATATAAGAGAGATTGGGGAAAAGGGGGAGGGAGGAGAAGAGAGAAGGGAATAGAGAGTAAAGAGGAGAGAGAGAGAGAGAGAGAGAGAGAGAGAGAGAGAGAGGAGATCCTGAAACGAGTGAGCGAGAAAAAGGAAAAAGAGCGGGATGAGAGCTAGCATAATAGGCAAGTGCTGTTGCCACTTTGCTCCGGCAAAGTTGACTTAAGGAAATACAAGATGAGCCCGTCTATTTCTTCACTGTACATCTTCGTAGCAACAGTATCCCAGTGTCGGTCTCAGATGATGGTTTGCAAAAACAAGCGATGCTGCAGAGTGAGAGTCTTGGCCTTCTTCTTCTGGCACGTTGTGCGCTGCTGGCGTGCAGAGAATGATAAAAATCCACTCGCAGCAGATGCTAAATGGTAGAATCCACCGTGGGTAGTCGCTAATAAAATAATGTGCAAAAAACTGAAATGAATATAAAGTAATGGAGAATTGGGCGAAGCATACGGTATCGGCGTTATTCGCGCGTGGCGATGTTTTAAATTCTTGGAACGAGATGCAGAATGGTTGGGGAGGGAGGGTGGGGGTTTGGGAATGAATCTGAGCACGAGGTAAACCTTGAGCACTCGCCGTTGTTTATTTTACATTCGGCTTCTTGAAGTTGTCGGTCTTTCTTGCGGATTTGCATAACCTTCTCCGCAGCGGAGCGGGGCGCGAGGAACCGTAAAGCGGTTTTTATGGTTTTACAGTTGGTTAGATCGAGCCTGGATACAGTTGCGAGAGCACATGTCCTGCAGAAATACGTGACGCTAAGCGTACGTAGGTTATTCGGCTGGATTTGTTTTACAGTGATTGCCGAATTTCGTCGACTGATCATCGTGCGTGTGACTTTTGAGGTTATGCATCAGAGATAGTTGATGACGTAGTTTTAATTGCGTTGGTGATGCTTACGATTTCCAATCGTTTGATGCACGCCGGAAAATCCACTTGTTTAGTAGAAGCATGAAATAGTAGGTGGTAGCACGTGTGGGCATCATCGCAACGGTGTCATTAATTTGATTTCGAAGTGCTAGTTCAATTAGTATAGTATTATGCTGAGTTGTTAGTTATGTAAATTACTTCAATATGAACACCACTGTGTTGCTGGACTTTAACAATACTAAGTGTGTTCGAAATGTATCAAAATTTATTTTTTTTAACAATGACGCAACAACAGCAGTTATAGCTGTAGCAAAATGGATGATTGTTGACTTTTAGCGCAAGTAGTAACAACGTTCTGTTCAGTGGCTCTATCTGCTAGTCAGTCGATAAGTGCAGCTATCCAGCCATATCGACCCGTATTAGTGTTTGACGTCACAGAAGTGGCCGTTTGTCAAATATTTATTCTAAAAGTAATTACGTTCTGAGTATTTAATATAAGATAAAGTGAATGCGAGTGGGAGAGAGAGAGAGCGAGAGATAGAGAGAGAAGAGAGAAGCGAGAGAGAGAGAGAGCGAAGAGAGAGGAGAGAGAGAGAAGAGGAGAAGAGAGAAAGAGCGAGAGAGAGAGAGAGGAAGAAGAGAGAGAGAGAGAGAGGAGAGAGAAGAGGAGAGAGAGAGAGAGAGAGAGAGAGAGAGAGAGCCGGAGAAGAGAGAGAGAGAGAGAGAGAGAGAGAGAGAGAGAGAGGAGAGAGAGAGAGAGAGGAGAGAGGAAGAAGAACGGAGAGAGAACGAAGAGATGGAGAAAGAGATAAAGAGCAGGGAGAGAGACGAGAGTGAGAAAGACAGTTGGGAGATGGACAGATATAAGATGAGTGAAAGGCGGTAGAACACACATCAGAAAGAGAAATGATAAAAGCGAGAGAGAGAGACAGAGTCGGTCGGTATTTAAAGAGCACACTCGCACGCCCCCTCGCCTTCTCGCTCTTCCTTGCAGCCTCATAATATTCTCAGCCAGATTCTCTTCCACTCACCGGTTGCTAGTCTCATTAACATGTGTCAGCACGTGCAGCACGCGTAACGTCACAAGAAGAATCTCTCTCGCGAAGTCTGTGCGTGTTTTTGCCTCTGCGTAACTCGCCCCCCGCCACATTCTCAACACAGCGGCAACACACGCAGCAAAGCGGAAGCATAACGCTACAAGCAATGCCGCTCCCCCTACACACATACACACGCACATAGCATGCTCCCCCCCCGCTACCACACAGCAATACCCAGTCCCACATGCACACACAGCTTACCACACCCACCAACAGTAGGGGATCCCCTAACCTCAATACGACCTCTCCCCACCCACCACGTACGGCACGCCAACCTCGGTACCCGGCCCCCCCCAATCCAACTGTACGCGACCCCAACCACAGTACAGGCTCCTCCCAACCGCCCGTACCGCCCACCATATACAAAGTCAGATAATAGGGGATTTTCCTCTGGCA